GAGGGCTACAGCCCCCTAAATCTCCCCATCAAACCTGCCGCGGGTAGAGACAAGCAAATGCCATCCCACCCGCCGAAGGAGTCAGAACATCCATCACACCACAGCCTCGCAAGGGCCTGAGGGCTTGGCACGCTGGCAACAAAATACTATTTTTCACGTATTATTTTTCTTTTGTGGGTGTCCAAGCTCCTTGCAGCCATGTCTTGGGGTCACGTCGCTCTGCAAGCTGAGCGAAGGCCCGTCTGGCCTCGCGCGGGGACGGGGGATCGGCGAGGCTCGGCAGCGGCGCTGCGGGCAGCCCTGGGGATGATTCAGAGGGACGTTCGCCAGCTGCTGAGTCAGGGCTGTGTTACTGACTTAGCACGATGTTCGGGTCTTCTTTTTGCTCTCCCCCCGCCCCCCCCGCCGCAAAAGAAATTTAGAGCAGAGATCCCAAATGCTTGTGGTTATTAATGGTTCCCAAGAAATTTTTCTTAAGACTGTATTATCCTCCCTCCTCTAGCCGCCCAGCAAACCCAACATTCCTGAAGAATTAATGCTCTGCCATTAGCCGCATGTGGGACGCAGGGTCTCCATTTCCTGTCGCGCAGCTCCGTGGTGGTCTCTCAGGGCGGATTAAGCCACAGAGGGTGCTGCCTTTGATCGCTGAGTGAACAGATCCTTTTAGCCCTTCGCTTGCACCCCTCTAGCTGGGCGGACACCTCCCTCAGCCATGGGGCTGGGATCTTCTGTACAGCGAGGATCGCACCACAGTTATTTTTGTAGCGCTGACAAAGCCAGGACTGCGGACACCACAGTGCCCGAGCCATCACCGCCTCACACCCTGGCTGTCAACCACATCCCAGTTTTGGGATGAAAGACAGGATCTTCTCCTCTTCAAGTGGAGAGCTGGATAGGCAGGGCGCTGCTTCTGCCCCGGAATCATTGCTAAGGTGGCCCCAACCCTCGCTGAAAAGGTAGAAGGCTGTTCCCCATACACACTTCTCTGCCCACTGACAGTCCTCTTGAAGAGACCGTGTGTGAGGCAACACAACCGGGAGAGCTAATTTATCATCTTGTCCTTCCAGCCGTGTGCCAGACTCCATGTATGATGTTCCCAGCCCACAACCTGCCCCGTCCGGGGAAGCGCTGGGCTGCGCTATCGCGCGGCAGAGCGGCAAGGTCTGTACTGACCTCATCAGAAACGTCTGCCCAGCACCACGAGGTCGGCGCCAGGTAATTACTCAAGCATGGAGCATTTATCAGCACTTGTTCTGAAACATGCTCATCTGGCCATAGAAGTGCTACATTAATTTCTCAACACGTCATCCCCATTCCAGTCTTTCCTCCTCTTTCTCTTCCCACGTCAGAGACAGCCGATGCAGTATGGTAGAGAGATCTCCGAGTGAGTCACAGAGCTATCAAGCGCCGCACGGCAGCCAGCTCCAGCCGAGCTGTAACCTTTCCCTCCCAAAGCGCCGACTTTGTTTCCAGCAGTCAAAGAGGATAAGGCCAGACACAGCCTCAAAATGTTCTCCTTTCCCTCAACTCAGGACTCCAGTTGTTCTCAGGATGGAAAAATCCTGCCATCTCTTCTCTCAGCCCTCCACAGCCTGAATCAGTTTCTTTGCTATGATTCACAAGCTGAGAGGGATTTTCCACTCCTGTTCAATAATAAGCTCTTGACACTGCAGGGAAAAGTGGGGACTTGGAGCTTGGTCACCCTCATGACATTTGCAGGGCAAGAAGGTGGAAAAGGCCAGGATTTCCCCGGGCTCAAAGCAGGCCACCCAGCTTTACCCCTTAGTACGTAATGTTTTTAGTCTTAGTAAGTAAGTAAGTAGTGTTTTAAGAGAAGTTCACAATTACTGAATTTCTCCTCTTGGAAATATGCCTGAAATGACTCTCTATGAAACCCAGAAGACTGCCCAAAGATAAAATTGCTGAAGCTCATTCCATCTACTCAGGGATTTAGCTAAACATCTCCAAGTACAAAGAGGACAACAGGGATGCTGCCTGGAGCAGCATCTTCACCTCTCCCAGAGGTGGAAACCTTGGAACAAAACACACCCCTCAGTGACTCCCCACCCAAATTACAAGGAGATAAATCACCGCACTGCTTTGAAATGGGACAGGAGGAAATGCAAGCCTTGAAGGTAAGCACCCATTAGCAAAACACCACCATTTCACTTTAGGTGTTACTTGCAACAAGGAGCAGCACATCTGCAGACACAAGTGCTGTTGATTGTGCTCCTTAAGCTAGTCTCAATATTTCCATTGTAAACCCTTCTTTCACTATTTTAAGAAGTCAGCTGTAAAAAATTGCTCTGGGCTGGAACTTGGCAACCAAAGACTCCATCTGGGAGAAACTTATTTTACATGTACAACCCCTCTCTCATATACACAATATAGCAAAATGCTTGGGTTGGAACACCAAATCCTCCTAAAAGTTGGCCAGTTTAAAGATCCTGTTTGCATTCTTGCATTTGAAAAAAAAAAAAAAAAGCTAGCAGATAATTAGTGTGGCCTGACTGCTTTTAGCATTACAAAATGTGTGTATACTTTTATGATGGCCAAGATATACACCCTGAGAGTGGTTATTGTGCATGGAATGCAGTAGTTAAATTTATAAAGGAAACTCTTTGCATGTTTTAAGTGCGGGCTATGAGAAAGAAAAAAAATTAATTTACACCATAAAAACAGAGAAAAGTTTGTTTAAAAAAATAAATCCTGAAGCAACCTCTGTACTTGCATTTGCTGAAACAGGGCACTTCTCTGGAAACGTGAAGTTTGGGTGCAAAACAAATTAATAACGAGTATTAAGAAATAGTTCATTTATGGCATGTTGTGGAGGCACCTGGGTTTTTTTTGGAAGGTGACCGGCAGTTCTGCCCTCTTAACCTTGAAAAAAAACAGGGGTCTGGAACAGACCCCCAACCTGGCCATCAAAATTTTAACCAGCAACTTGTAAGAAGGAAGGGGGGATCTTTTTTTTTTCCTTAAATTTACTATTAAGCAGCAACATTAACTGCAAAATTTAAGGGGCATCCACCATGACCAACCACTCAAGTTTACACTGAGATATATGCTAGAATTGTGATCATCAGAAATGTAATAGTGCTTGGCTGCTATTTCGAGCTGTCACACTCCGCTGTAGGTTACGGTCTGCCAACCACTTAGCGGATCTGTGGCTGGGAACAGCATTAAGAGCTTGCGCTTACCTGAGGTCCTCTCTCTCCTTTCAATCCTGGATATCCCAGTAAAAATGGAAACGGAGTGGGTCCGAGGGGGTCAAAGATTTGATAACCATCAGTCGCAGCCGGGGTTGTGAAGTTGAAGGCCTGTGCCCTGGCTCTGGAGACAGGACGGGCAGACCCCAGGGCTGGTTTGGTGTGCACCAGAGGGATGCTACTACGATCCACTTTCCCAGTGGGGGACGGCGTGTGTTTCTTTGGAACGGGCCCATTGCTTGGGTTCTGTGGGGTTTGCTTTAGGGTGACAAAGTGGATGTTGCTGGTTGTGTTGTCAGTCATCCTCCTCGTTGGCTTTACAGTACTGCGTGCTTCAGGAGGCTCGATGGTGGGTTTTTGGTTGATCATCTTTTTGGTCTCTTGCTTGGACTCCCTTCTGCTGGCTGTGGCAGGGCTCTGGCTTGTTGGTGGGGCCTTTTTGGCAGTGGGAAGGGGAGTTTTCTCCATGCGCGTGCTGAGAGTGGGCCGAGACACCCTGAAAGTTGACACCGTCCCCTGAGGGACCAAACGGGTGGGTGGCTGTGTTTCAGTACTCGATGGAACAGGAGATGGGGCCACTGTGACCTTTGTGGCTTTGGTTGTCAGTCTTAGCCGTGATGGTAGGGATGATACCAATGCGACGGTTGTTGCACCTGAACCCCGAGTTTTGAGGGGTGCAGTGACCCTGCCAAATTCCAAGGATGGGGCAGCAGTGGTCAGGTTTCTCAGACCCTGCAGCGAGGGCTCCATATGCTGTGGGGTACTCGGGAAGGCACCAGGATCCCGGGGCAGGAGGGGGATGAGGGGAGGCAGGTTCGGCCGGTAAGTATCTGCTTGCCTGCACTGTTTTTTCAGGTATTTACAGTAATGATGAGCTGCCTTGGCGGAAGGATAAATATCAAACTGGCAGATGGCTCCTTCAAACTGCACGGAGTGCTGGTTCATCTTCCCAAAGAGGAAAGATCCATGTGGATCCAACGCCTCGTCCTTTTTAAAATGCAAATCCGCATGTACTCTGCGCTTCCCACAAGAAGTAAATAAAGTGACTGTCTGGCCACGGATATCGATGGCCATATTGTGCCACTGGCCATCATGGACATTATAATCAAAATATACAGAGCGCTTGTGGCCCACATACACTATGATCTTCCCAGGCACAAACTGGACCCCCAGCTGCAGTTTTTTCTTTTTGCTCTTGACAGCAAAGAGAAAAGCATTGTTGATGCGGTGGGAGCAGAGGCTCAGCACTAGGAGCAGGTCAGTGCTGGAGCCCGCGGGGATGATGGTGCTGACCGGTGCTTCGACACGTGCGCGCTGAGTGAAGATGACCCCTGATTTGAAAGGAATGACTCCTTGAGGAACTGTACGTGATGAGGACCATCCGCTTGATGGCCTTTTCCCTGACAGGCCCAGTCTTTGAAGGACATCCACATCTGAAAGGAAAGCACAAAGAGGTGTTGGGCAACACAAGGTCTGGATGGGTATGGGTGGGTCAAGCCAGTCCATGCAAAACGGTGACAGGTTACAGGAAACCCCAACCATCCTCTCACACATATATGTTCAAATAATCAGAATGGAGAGCACCTAGCTCTTCTGCAGATAGCGTAAGGAGCAAGTGCATGCTCAACTTGGTCACCAGCAATTGCCAAAATGCATCAGCTCTGTGGTGCATCTGGCTAGCTGTCCCGTACCACCAGGGACCAGCTCCAGATGTTCTGGAGGGAGCTGACCTCACTACAAGGAAATTTCCCACTGAGCACCAATAGTCCACTTCTCTGGGATTTAATTCTGAGTACTGACCACACAGCTGGGAAGGAATTTGAACAACAGACTCAGCTGGGATTGCAAAATTTTATATCCCCAGAAGGCAAGGAACAGAACTTTCAAAGGGAGCGAAAGCCTTGTTATCTATTTCTCTCCAAATTAGTAAGAAGCAGCTTTTGATCTTTGAGATTCTGGAGAGTTTAGGGAAGCAAAGGTGCCTCCAGCATGAAAAAACTGCACCTAGATTTCACTGAATCGCTTAAGGTTCTCAACAGCAGTACTTTTTTTCCCAGCAGATCATCTTACAACCTTAAATGATTAAAATAAGTTGGAAGAACCAGACTGGGTTTGTGAAGATCCGAGAAATTGGTTATGGCTACCATTGAGCAGTAGAGGGAAGACTTGCCTCCAGCATTTATCAACCAGGAGCTAGGTGCCTTATTCAAGATGGGATGCGAGGGATTGATGTCCAGAGGCACCTAGCTTTCTCCACCAACTCCAGGAGAAGTCTGCAATGGACGCACAAGCAGAATTCTCTGGTTTCTGGCCTCGAGGTCTAACAGGAGTCACACACAGCTTGGAGTCCAAGGCAGATCAGCAGGCAACAGCAACACAAACTGGAGCCAGCTGGCAGCAGTCTCAGCTGAACTGCTTGACTGGGGAAGGTGCTGAGGTCTACATGAGAAAAGCTGCAAAGGTAAATGTGCCCTGACCTGAAAGAGGTGCTCATACACCCAAAAGCTTGTTCTCTTACTCCAGCTCAGCCATTTGGTCTAATAAAAGATGTTACCTCCATGGTATAGACAGATAAAGGTAAGGCTATAATAATTACCATGACATTACCGCTGTTGAAAATGAGTGAGGATAACTGTATCTCCTTCCCTCTTCTGGGCCCAAACGCGATTCCCATTACTCGATGACCAGCTAACTCTCGCATTTAAGTGCTCTTTGGGGAAGCTAGCCTGGGCTGTATAATCCAAATCCTGAATTCGCAAAGTAAGAATCTAACAATCAGAAATGTGGCAGTGCCAATCATGGCTGCATGTCAGCTAACACCATGGGACTGCAGCTTTCCTAGATTAAAGGAAAAGTAAATCAAAGGTTGTCCAAAGAAAAAAAGAGCTCCTTCTCTAAAGGGGCTTCGGAGTTTGGCCTCTTTCACCCTTAGCTATTATATATTCAGCACAACACCCAATATTTGGAGAACTGGCACTTAAAAGAAATTACCAGTGTTGGCCAGAAGGGTTGTAGACTCAAGCAGTCTGTGGCCGGTAATGTTGCTGGCCAGAAGGGAGGAGAATAACGAGAAAACCTCTGTTCCTTGACTTTGGCAAAAACCTTGGTCATTTTTGTATGTAAGAACAAGTCAATCAATATTTACTTTCTCTGAACTCAGCTTTATTCCCATCTCCCTTTTTTAAAGCAGCTTGACTCATTTTCTAGCAGAGACTACCCTGGAGAAGATGTGTCAGATGTGAAAGGGGATGGAAATTTTCCCACTCTATGCAGAGGGGATAATTTACTGCACAGTATGTGCAAACGACAATAACGGTACTTCTCCCATACTAAGAAATTCTTGGTCGCCCTCAGTTTTTCTGCCATATTGCCTAACGGGGCTGTTCCTCAGCACAGCAAAGGGAGAGCCTTCCCTTCTCTGCACTGAATGGAGGAATCACAGCAGTATCTTCATACTGGATAATCTCCAGAGCCCATGAAATATTAAAGGCCAAAGCCTGGCTTTAGCAAAGTCAAGTGGGACCCTTGCCACTTGATGCCACTTCAAAGGCATCAGGATTTAGCCCTAAGGAAATAAATTTACCACTTAAACTAGGAGCTAGACTCCAGCTTCCAATTTCTACATGTATTTTTAGGTTCTCCTCTAGAGACAGACAGTGGTGTGTCTCTAGTAGGCAGGGATGCTTTATACTCCAGGAGCTATTCATTTGGTAGCTGCTCGGAAAGCATAAGGATGTTTCCCTGCTCAGAGGATGCCGCTGCTGTTTGCAATGCCAATCCAACTGCCTCGCTAGCAACTGCATCCAACCGTGCTTCAGAAAAAGGAAAAAAGCACAACCCAACCACTCCTTTCCCTCAAAACCCACAAAGGTAGAGCCAAATTCTAGATGCCTACGCAAAACCCGATTAAAACAGACCTCATGCAGGACATGTATGTGGATTTTCCAGCACCAGGTCCAGGCACACAGCTCAGGACTCCTGTGCACCCAGCCCGTCTGCCTCTCCATCCCATGCTGACTGCCGTGAGCTGGTGGGGCATGTCCCCCGGGATGACGGGATGTCATCAACTAACGTAAAATGCAAGGTAATTTTGGCTTCCTTAAGTAGGTCCAAGTTTAGCAAAGCGTTTTTTCCCTTTCAAATTTTTTCCTCTGTAGATTTTTCCATCAAAACACATTATTTAAAAAACCATTCACTTCGCACTGCCTGGTCCCAGGTGCCTTGAAGCTGGTTGCAACATTCCTGTCGCAACATTTGAGCAACTGGGAAAAACTTTTCTAACAGACTCTGTGCACGAGATGAGATGCGCAGAGACTCCTGAACAATCACATGATCATCCCTGAAAGAGCGGATAAGGTGTTTTATTGCTCTCCTTCCCGTCTCTTTTTTCCCCTCCCCCTTTCCCCATGCAAAATCTTTATACGTAAAAGAAGCCAAAAGGCAGGAGAGAAAATACTTGCAGCTTCCTAGATTCCAGCAGCTGAGATGTGATGCCCACAGCTAAAACTGGGTTGAATAAATACCACATTTCCAAAAGTTACTGCCCAGACCCTTAGTCTGTGCACATCAGATGAGCTCACTAACCTCACGATCTTTTTGACTTGTACTGCTTATGGAAAAACCACCCTCTCTGTTCCCTGATTTTCCAGTGTGCTGGAAGACTCCTAAGCCTTAATATCAAAAGCCCAGGGCATTAGCTTAATTCCATCCTCACAGAGATCTATGAACAAGCTCTTACTGCTTTTGTCAATCTGATGTTTGAAAATCCTGAGTGATAATACGGTCTCAAGTCACCAATGTTTCCTTACGGCCTTTGCTTCCTTGGAAGTTTTTGCTTGCTGGTACCCAGAAGAAGAGCCTGTCTCTGACCGTGGGGAAACCAAGAAAGATTTTTTTTTTTTTTAATTCCTTTACCACAGAGAAAGTATCTCAGAGGGGAGTTATCTTCCACACTAAGGTAGATATGTAAGAGCGAAGTGAAAGAGATTTATTTAGATTAAGGGTAATAAAAGACATGGCACCATCCTATAATTATTATGGGAGTAAAATGATGGATAGAGATGAATCTAAACAGCATATTAAAATTGGCTTGAAAAAAAGAGATGCCAAGACACAGTATTTGTTCTGCCTCTTTATGAGCTGACATAAAACATGCTCTGAAACTTGCTTGACTAAGTAATTCAGCCAGATGTTCACCTCTTTTGCACTGAAGCAGAATTTGGAAAATATTACATTTTTAAAAATTGCTGATGGTAGGGATGTATTTTTTTAATCCCCCACTCCTGTAGAAACTGCTCCATGGGCTGGCTTACAGCTGAGCGTTGACCAACCTTCTATTTTTCCTTCATGTTTTGGAGACTGAGAGGAGAGCCCTGGAGCCTGCTAGTCCACTTATTGTTGTCTACTGATTGCAGAGGAAGCTCTTCACTTCCAGCATACATCCGTGTAAAGCATCCATGCAGGAGAGGTGTTGCTATTTTAAGAGGAGATGGCTCCTTCACAAACAGATAGTGGGAGCTGAGCATCTCTGCAACATCAACTGGAAAGTACAAATGTATTTTTGTTTTTGTTGTCTCTGAAGATTTACCTCTCCTCTTGTGGGATCATTGATTATTGTATCCCAACCGTTTGTCCTGTCCCCAGCAGCACTAGGGAAGGGGTGCCTGGAGAAGGGATGTGAAGACAGGGTGAAGGTGTATGATCACTCCCCTATAAAATACTTCCCCTCCCCTATAGAATACTTCCCCTACAGCACAGGGACTGAGCCAGACATAGTCATTCTACTATCAACCATCCCCGTGGGATTTTTCTTCCTTAAATTTGCTTTTTATTTTAGAACTCACATCACTTCTGTATGGACAACATCCTATGTGCCTGCACAGGCATGGTCGGGCTGCATTCAAGTCAAGGAAAAACCCATCTGCCAGAGACACTTAATTCCTTAATGCCCCAGCCTCAAGGGGCACTTTCTAAAAGCAGTTAAGTACTAGCACGTGCAGCTACACGCCAGTGATGTTTTAGACACAAAGTGCTTCATTCCCACCAGTTCCACCAAACAGGCACTTCTGGAAAGTCCTGTAGGGCACATAATCACCTGTAAAAAGCTGGTTCTTTTGCCAGCTGTTAACTGCATCATCTATATCATCCGTACTGCAATAATCTGCAGTAAATGCATTTAATTGTGTGCACTAGGCTCACACATTATTAAATGATAGTCCTAAACTGATACCAAAACACTTGGCTTTTACTTTGGTTGAAAGGAGAGAGGAGAAAAAAGGAAGAAAAAGTGTAATTTACCTTCAGAACTTCCCTGTGTGAATCCCAGCAACCACGTAAAACATAACACAGTCCAGAGAAAGCAGAATCCCCTGAAATTGGAAGAGAAGAAAAAATAATGAGTTTCTCCAACATTAGTAACAAAAACTAGCCCTCCGGGTTAAGGGCCTTCTCCTTGATCACAGGTCTAACAGTCAGTGGCAGCGTCCGCACGTCTCTGGGAAACGGAGCACAGGTGCTCAGCAGAACACTGCTTGCTTCCAACTGAAATTTCGTTTTGCTACTTTAAAGTCATCTAAAGCCCACTCAGTTCAGTGGAAGGTTTTCCCACTGGTATTAGGGGCTGATCAAGCCTTGAACAAGGACCAGAGCAGTGTTTTGTGATGCAGTGTCATGACTCCCTTCGCTACAGCTACACTCGGTGGCACTTGCCCCATCTAGAACGGAACATCAGAAATGCAAGAGGATGGAGAAGTAATTCAAAATTGGAAGGTCAAAAGACATGCCAGGAGGGCATGTGCATGTCTGTAAGGACACGGGTAGGAAACGGGCTGACATGCAGCGACATGTCAACTGCCTCTGCATTTCAGCAAACTGATTCCAAGTCCTATTGCTTTACCACATGCTCAAAAATATTCTAAATGTACAAAATCCTACATGGATTTATTTTTCTTTTTACACCCAGACGCAAAGATGGGGGACAGCTTCCAGGACACTCAGCACCCTGTGCTGCTGCCATGACTTTCTCATTAGGTTGGTATGGCAGGAAATTTTAGAAAGCGAGACTCCCAAACACTGTGCTCTCGCAGACCCTTTCACGCCTGAGAGGCAGTTAGACAAACCTTTCAGTTAGCTAAACTAAGCCTTGAAGTGCCAGCAGAGAGGAAGACTTTTACCAGAAAGGTAGCTGAAGCTCCCCCTGCCCCCACCAACTTCCTTGATTTGTAGCCAAGTAACGAACATAGGAAACTCCTTGGTTAAGCTCACTTAAAACTGTCAGTGGAAAGTCTGAAGATTGAATTCCCTCCTCTTCTAGAGATGATAACTAACAGCTTGATCAGCAAGGGCTGCTGGAGGAGCAGAGACAAAAATGTAAACTACAGAAAGTCCTCAGCCAGAAGAAAGCAGTGTGGGACATCCACAGGTTGTTCTTTGTGTCAGCCAAGCCAGTGCGAACACTGGGATATGCACAGCAATGCCAAAGCGCAGCTTGCTCCTCTCTTCAGATCTGGCAAAGACAAATCATTTATCAAGTGGGATTAGAGACCACTCTTCTCCTGCTGTCAAGTCTCAGCTTTAGCACAAGAAAACATCCTCCGAGACAATGTATTAGCCTGGGCCAGATCCTCATCTAGTGCAGAAGACCGCTTCTAAGCGCCAAAATGAAGCCACAGTGATTTACACAGCAGTGAGGAAACCTGGCCTTGAATGTAAAAATCCATGCAGGAATCCAGCCACTAACGAATATTTTAAGGCTTGAAGGGACAAAATGCTGGAGCAGCCCTACATCAGCTGGGAAACAAATGAGATGGACCACATCATTCTTTGCTGTTTCCATTATCCTGACACTGGGCTGCATATTTCAGGAGCTCTGGGGCTGCTTTAGGTTATGCATGAAGGAACAACAGCTTGGAATAGCCAAATCATGGTATTCTTTCGCCATGTCCTATAGGCAGCCGCACGCTAGTCAGGAAACCCCCACTGTGCTCATGAGATCTCCAGCTGGGGAGGCTTGGTTGTTTTCTGCCTACTTCATCCCATGGGACACGGCAGTCAGGCTGAAGACACTGCTGAGTCCAAGGAGAGCTATTGTCCCTGTTCATTCAGGGGATATAGGAAGGCAAGGAGAATAGGATGATTCTTCAGGGCCACCTCTAGCAGAAGTCTTTTTATGACTTAAAACAGGCTAAAATGCACTTTGAAGACCTGCATTTCTGTGCTCACCTCCAAAGGAACGATGGAGCTTTAAGATGCAGACACAACTCCATGTGTGCACACAGCAAAGACCTTGCTGGGTATCATCAACTGGGTTTGACTGTCTGATGAGAGCATGGGAAGACGAGGGGAAGGGGGTGACCAACATGACACAAACTCCAAGGGCAACAGGAGTCCCAAGCATTAAGAACACCTTTTCTCTGGTGAGGATCAGATTTGTACAGCTATGTACAAACACTGATGCACACAACACACCTAACTGAAGTCCAGCTCTTTTTTGGAGGGGTACCTTTACAACCTAAATTTGCTTCCAAAATCCCCATTGACCAACACAGTGAGGGGAACAAGCCTTAGGGGAAAATCCAGCACGTAATTTCATTCCAGTGACACTGACGGGGCTATAAAGGAGACGAATGCACGGCGTGGGATCCAGCTGGCCTCAGCCCTGCTCCTGGACCCCTCACACAGCCAGTACCGTAAGAGTCGAGAGCAGGGCCGAGTGCCAAAACACTGAAGGAAAACAATTTGGCAAAATTTACCAACTTAATGGAAAAAGCAAAAGCAGCTTCCAAATGGCAGACCTGTGACTGATGGGGCTGTTAATTATTGCAGAATTTTATAATGCAGGCTCTTTTTCCATTACAACTGTGTAGCGACAGGATTGCATAAGCAGCTTGAGTAGCAATAGTAAAGGAAGATTTTTCTCCTTATATAGAGCTATCAAGCCCACCTTGCCTTTATCTCAACTTCTTCCCACAACCAGTGATTTCCACAGGGACTCTATCAAGAGCTACCCATTAAAGGCATTTATTTCTTTTATTGCACAGGGCCTATGAATACAAGAATGAGGACCCACCGCTACAGTCACTGGGTGAAGGACTGCCCCCAAATACCTACGGATGTAAGCTCAGGTGAACCCTAAAAGTTTTCTAGCGGAGACAAACTCCCTTTATAGCAAACTGAAGCTACTGACTACAGCTTAATTTTGCTTCGCTGCTTTTTGTGGACTCCTGTGATCAGCCCATGGGAACTAACCAGTGCCGGAAGCGCGATGCAAGAAATAGCAGAGAGGGACAGAGAAGCACAAAGACTAACAAAGGTAACACTTCTCAGCCTTGGTGGGGGTTTTAGCATCTTCCCAGAGAGGATCACGTGCGTGCAGGTAGCAGCCAAGAATAAACATCCTGCGGAGTTCCTACAAGAAGCACCGCTTCTGCTGGGGCTCCAGGACAGGCAGGAGGTCCCTGCACATGGTGGTATGCACCAATCTGGAGACCTGATGAAATCACGACTGCTAATTAGCATACAGGCAAACCCGGGCAAAACGGTGCCCTGGGTTTTCAACTTCCAGACTCATTTGCTGTCTTCTTAATGAGCATTCAAAAAGCAGACTTCTGCGAGAGGCAATCTGGGGCTCCGGGGCTAAAGAAGAGTTATCACCTCTGCAGGTGGCTTGTGCACAGCGTGTCTGGCTGCTAGCCCCGGTAAAGTCATGTTCAGGGTGGCAACCTCAAGAGCAAAGGTAAAAGGAAAAATCCTGTTGAACACGTCAGCTCTTACCTGACAACCACTGGCTTCCGTAGCAGAGGAATAGAGCACTACACTGAACTAAAGACAATAGTAAGACAACAGCCTCTAGGGTAGAGTTGACCAGGAATTATCCTCAAAAAAGTGCAAGTTTGACAAAGCTGAAGCAATCTGTAAAACAGCTGTGACCAGATAATTCTCCGCAATTTCTGAAATAGGTTGGAACAATTTTAGCTTTTTTTAATTAAAAAATTTACCCCACCTTAGAAAAAAAGTCCAAATGATTTTGACATCTTGTTTGCTTAGATGATGGGTCAAAACTGAAGAAAAGCAGTATTTCATTTTTAATTTTGTTTTCTCCCTCATTTACAGTGGGGAAATGTCTTTGAAATTGCAAACATTCTTGCAGGGCGGAAAAATGATTCTCACACCTCCCCCTCCATTCAGGTGCATTTTTGTTTCTGTCCAAAAGACCAGAAAGCCAGCTGGATGTTGAAAATTGCTTTTCAAGAAAGGCAAATCTACGGTTCTAGCTGTAGGTCTATGTTGCTTAAGATCCTCTGCACATGACTGGAGGTGGTATTTTGTAAGACTCCCAAGCAGTTTTGGTAGTCAACAGGAAACAAAAATCACAACCTACATACTGAGGCTTTAAATTGCATCATGGCATCAATTCCACTCCCAGCTTCCCAGCTTTTTGGGGTAGAAATCTTATTTTTTACTAATACCATCCTTTGCAGAGCAGACTTCTGCTCTCTTTTCAGGGCTTCTGGAAACTATGGTGTTTCTCCTCTCGCCCTCAGCTTCTGGAGAGAGCGATGGGAACGTATGATTATGTAGATGTCCCCGTATAGACCCCGCATAGTCCTTTGCTGGCCCTTTTCTGCAGTATCAACCAGCTATTGGCGTACACCTCCAGCCAAAGATTTTTGTCTGATACACACAGGCACTGTTGCAAAACTCAGCATGCTAAGGGGAGAGTTTCTGAGATGACCAAAATGGTATTCGTTTTTAAGCCCCATTCAGCACCTACATTTTTAAGAAAAAGCAGAAAGCAGATATGGCCCAGACAGATACATTTCCATAGTCATTTTAAAATACTGAGAAACCTAAGAGTGATCTAGAAACTGTCAATATTAAGTGGGGAAAAATGAAATTCAGTATTCCTCTAAGGTTTTAATGTTCAAAAAAAGCTCCCCAAAATATCATCCAAGTACACAAAATGTCCAGAATCCAACCCACTGCTTCCAGGCACATGTTTATCAAAAGAGATTTTTAGATGACAACTAAAAATTCATTGCACGTGCAGCCGTACAGGGAAAGGATGAAGAAGTGGGATGTCAGGGCGGCTGCCTGAGCTTTAACAGCACCCTGAGCACGCTCCAAAGTGGAGGGTTTCAAAGACTGTCCCACCATTATTACTGAAGACTCCAGTAGCCCAGACGGACGGGAAACTCCCTAGGCCAGACTCCAACCCATCCTTGGGGTGATGCTGAACAGGAAAGTCTCAGTTCCTCCACCCTGCCCCAGAGTTTGGAACGTGTGTGCAAACCCAGAAATTCCCAGGGAATTCTGGCACCATTTCTGCCAAATCTGATCTTAATTCAGGACAAAAATGCCCTTAGTGCTG